GGGGGGAGTGACCTGCAGAGCTGGGATGTGACCTTGATCGAGGGGAAGCAGGGCGGGCTGAGACGCTCAAGTTTTGATGCTGGGGACACTGTGACCGGGTCACCGGGAAAAACCGGACAAAGTAATCGCTGCAAAATAAAATTAAGGCTAAAATCAGGGGAATAGAAGTTGGCAGAAAAAATGGCTGTTAACATAAAATGGCTCGTGATGACTGAAGCTGTAATTAGTGACACCTGACTATAAGAAGACCAATGAATCAAGTTTTCTTCGTGAGATGAGAAAACTCCTTGTGATAAAAGAAATCTTAACCAAATAAGAAAGGTGCTGATTGTTAACAATAACAAAAGGAAAAAGGAGACAGGCAATAACTAAGAAATGGATCAACTGGGCTCTGTGGAACAGGGCAGCAGGTAGAAGACGGGTAATGCAGGTTTGTTCTGGAGAAGTCCACAACAAAACCCAATGTTGATGGAATTCTGATGAAAATCCTTCTCTATTCACAGTATGGATGCCTCCTCAGGGGCTAAACTTCCCACCACGTAGAGGCAGAGAACTTGGGGACAGGACCCTCCCTCCCGGGGCCTCCCCCAGCTCGGTTTCCTTCCTTTTAATGGAAGCCAGGCCCTGGACCAGCTGCTAACCAACCAGCCAATCACGTCCATGCTACAACCGGGGCCAGAAGGCCAGAAGGCCGTGTTGAGACCTGGATACTCACGGCTCCTCATCTGCTGTCTCACGGGACGTTTCAATGACTGATGTCAACACAGAGCACAGGTAAAGGTAAAACACACTGATTTTACGTAGAATTCCCTTCATCTTCTGGGAGAAAAAGGAATTCGTAGGACATGGGATTGCTCTGATCACCATCAATGGAAAGGCTGCAATTCCCTTACCAGAACATTATGGAAGACAGAAGACAGAAAACACAGACAGATGGAGGAAAGGCAGATGTGTTTCATTCTGTGGCAAAACATCAAGTGTCCTAACTCTCTTCTGTCTTGAAACCGATAAAGGAAGCTGCCCTGAACCTCGAGGGCCAAGGCCCTGCTCCCCTCTGCCAGCACGGACCAGTTCCCTCAACCACACCTGCGGCACAGTGCGTTTAAAACTCGCTCTTTCTTTGTAAAGGTCAGTTTCTCTTGGCCTGTTTTGGTCAAAATGAGCCACGCACACACCCATGAGGAATCGGGAGTCTTTAATGATTTTCAGCATAGAAAGTGCAGCCCATGCGTCTTTCTGGGTGCTGGGGGGACAGGCGCATCTACAGGGGGAAGCGGGCGCGGGGCCTGCGGGAGGGGGCGGGCAGGTGACGGCACGGCCACCCGGGGAACCCGCGCCCCTCGCTAGCAAGGGCGACCACGCCGGCTCCGAGGTCTGGGAGGGCGACGTCCCCACCGCGCACACGCCGAGGGCCGGCAGAGCACAGGGGACAGCACCGCCCCCGCAGAGACCCAGCAGGGCCTGCGGGGCGCCTGGTGCGGTACGGGCTTCAGAAGCAGTAGGACGTGTGGGTGACCCAGTGGGCCGACTCCTCCTTGGAGCGCTTGGCAGAGCTGTGGGAAGTGAAGAGGGACTTGTAAGCTTCAGATTCTTCACTGTTGGCGATGGACCTCTTTGTGGCTCCGCACAGAGGCTTCCCGACTTTTCCCGAAGAGCTCCCGTTTGCTGCTGGAAGAACGAGAAGCCAGATTCGTTAGGGTCGGGACCACGGGTCACCCCCAGCACCACACTCTTACAGGAAAGACGTCGGTCCGTCTCGGGAATCTGCCGCCACCTCCCCTGGATACAGTGGAAGCCGGCGTCCCAATGCCCGCTCCTTAAAGCTGCTGGATTCACATCGATCCCGTGAAACCACACCAGTAACCGTCTGCTGCCTTCTCAGCTCTGGCCCCCGCCCCGTGAACGATGTAAACCAGATCGTCCTCCCAAGGGGGCGCTCTCCGCCTCCTTCAACGGGGGGCAGGAACGGAAGTCCCAAGAGGCTGGGTCACCTATGGCAGGCCAGGTGGCCGCTACATGTAAGGCGGGGACTGGATCCGTTAACCACCGTGGACGCTACTTACAACACAAGACTACACATTCTTTTACCTGATAATCAATCTGTGTTTCTTTTTTTTTTTCTTTAACATTTTGTATTTATTTTTGAGAGACAGAGTGAGACAAAGTGAGAGTGGGGGAGGGGCAGAGAAGAGAAGGGGGGAGCACACGGTCGGAAGCAGGCTCCAGGCTCCTGAAGAAACGCGTCAACACAAACAGCAGCGAAACTCAAACCCACAAATCCATGAATCATGACTGAAGCGAGAAGTCAGATGCTCAACCGACTGCGCAAAACTAAAACACAAAAGCTTAGCCCCAAATTCTTTATTTAACGGCTGTATGTTTATTTATTTTTGAAAGGCAAACACGAGCAGGAGGAGGGGCAGGGCGGCTGCAACACTTACACTAGGAAAAGGAAAATACGAAAGCAAAATCTATGACTCTGAGCTGTCAGCACAGAACCCGACACGGGGCTCAAACCCACCGTGAGATCGTGACCTGAGCCAAAGTCGGATGCTCAACTGACTGAGCCACCCAGGCACCCCAATCTGTGTTTCTTTTTTTGTGAAATACGTATCTTCTCTTAAGAGCAGCGGGCTTGCGATTGTTCTGGACTGTGGGCTAAATAGCCTTTGACACTTATTGAAGAGGGAGGAGAAGGGCTGGCTCTGAATGCTGCAGCGGGATGCACAGAAAACCCGAGCAACAAGGGATCGAGGAACATTCCGCCAACACCCTGAGGCAGCCAGGCCGCGACCGACCAGTGTCGCAGCAGGGTCCTGCTCTCTGTCATTACAGGTAAGCTTGATTCAAAGGCACGCTGGGCGACGAAGACAACTGGCACCGGCGTGCCCAGCCTCCCTCGGGGCTGACCCTGCACAGGTGGGGGGCTGTGTCTTCGCCTCTAAGAGGGCTCGAACTACTGAAAGGCATTGACTTAGGACGACCCTGGGCACCAACTCACTCAATAGAACCCCGTGACATAACCAGCTGGCTTTACCAGCTTTCTGAACAACTCTCTGTTGTCCTCTCAGGACCCACCTGCACTTTTGGGGCTGAGCTGGCTTTCTCTTCTCTCTAGGGCTCGAGGCTGGTTTCTTGAGGGCTTCCCTGTCTTATTTTTGATGGCCCTGGGGATTGTTAAAAAAAGAACAGTCAGGCAAGCAAAAACAAAAGCATATACTTTTTATTTTTTTTTTATTTAAGCCACCTCCTTGTTCCCTACCTACAAAACCGCAACCGGCGATGGACAATACAAAATGAAGAATAGTCATAGTATTGTACTCATCAAAACAATGGTGATGGTGATCTTTAATAATCAGTAGTGGTATCAGTCATTCTCACAGTGGTGAAAATAAAACAGGCATTTTCAAACTCAGATATTCTCAAACCTATCAATAATCTCAAAACCAATTTGATATCATTGCATTCAAACTTTCTGAACAGAACTCGTAAATTAAACAATGGCCTCATAAAGCTTTGAAATCGGACGCTTAACCCGACACGCCACTTGGCCCCAACAAAAAAGCATATACTTTTGAACAGTGCCACAACCTTATTTTTGCTCAAACAGGACCACTTTTTAAGTGTCTTACCTTCACTAACATCTGGTTTTGAGACAGACTCTACCGCCTTGGGTTTCTTTGCTTTCTGTAAAAAGAAAGAGCAGACTGGAGCTGTCTTGGATTCTGCCTCTACTCGGCATGTAGTCAATGTGTGGCTGTGTGCCCCGGGACAGGCCGCTGCCCGGGCCAGGTGTGTGAGCATGAGGTCTGCGATTCTGAGACCTAGAATACGGTAACTGTGTGTGTTTCCAGCCAGGCACTTCTCTAGATCACTGGAATACACCTGGAGCCTGCCCCTGGCTCTGCGTTATATCTGTTCAGAAACCACATTCTCAAAAGTCTCAGATGCCAGATTTCAAATTCTTTACAATGATTAGGGTGACTACAAATAATCCCAAAGTACAGATGGGAACATCAAGCCCCACCAGCAGAAACATGGACTGAATCAGCATTCCAGCCAACTTCTTCAAAGCTGTCAAACCGCTTTCATATTTGTTTATTTAACTGTAAAGACTTGAGGCTGGGGGCACCTGGCCGGCTCAGATGAAGACTGAGACTCTTGGTCTTGGGGTCTTGGGGTCATGGGTTTGAGCTCATGTTGAGTGTAGAGATTACTAAAGCAAATAAACTTAAAAAAAAAAAAAAAAAAACAAAATGGCTTGAGGCTATACTAAAAGGCATGTTAGCCAAATCTCAACTCTGGATTACCCGTTAGATTTTTAGGCACCAAAATCCCATCACTCATAATAATTATACTGGTCAGCAAAAATTTTCAAAATGAAAATCACCATTCTAAAATCACACAGCCGTGTTAGAACTGAGTCACACGAAACACAAACAGAACTGTGTTTATTCACAGAGAATTAATTTAACACGCCATTTTCCAGAGTATCCAAAAGGTGGCACTGAAGACACAACCCAATTACTTCAGAAGGCTCCCCTCAGTAGAAAACGTGGAAAAAGGACCTTCCTCGGGCACTGGCCTTGAACTTGTAATATATACGTGCAGAGGGACTTGTAATGCTGTACAAAATGTAAAAACTTCCTGTTGGTTTCACACGCTTAAAGCATGCATTCAAATCCGTGAAGGTAACACCTGGCCTTTAGAAAAAGACTGACAACTGCTGATTTTGAAGCCTTTCGTTCACAGCTGAGGTTTTATATAAAAAGCAAGAGAAGTTAGGACGTGCTCTATCTTGTTTTCAGCTGTGAGCATATTTGGGAAACATTCTGGTATCCTGGTAGCAGTATCTCAGAGGCATTCCCAGAAGCTGCGGTGAGTATTTTGCAGAGAGGGGTGTGCCGGCTCCACTGGGCTTTGAACACCTTGGCAGGAAGCCTGGGACAGGAGACGACTCGCTGAAGTGACATGGTTAACGACCACACAAACACCGGAGCTTCCTCTGAAACACATGTTCTTCCCTTTTGTGCTTTTTAAAAACTGAGCTGGGTCAATGATAGCAACGAAGAAAACGACCAGCTCCTTTCTGGAAATCGTCTAAAATATCTCGAGCCTTCTGTGTTCTCTTCTTGTTCTCGTGATGACGAAATCCTAGTTAATTTAGAAAACCAGTGCAGAATGCGTGCACTTACATGCCAGAGTTCCTTTCCCTTTTATGATGAAAACAACGGCAACTCCGAAAAATCTCTATCACGTCACTGGTAAATGCACGCCACACAGAGGGTTTCCCCCGTGATTTTATGCACTCAGGCTACTGCAACAAATTCTCTAATACTTCAAGCATTCCTCTGACTTAGTTCTAATCACAAAATTTCTCCCACATTTACCCTGAACCTCACTTAGTTTTTTATTATTTTTAACTTTTTAAATACAAATTTTTTTTCTTTTTTTTTTGTAATCTCTCCACCCAGCGTGGGGCTTGAACTCATGACCCCAAGATCCAGAGTCGCACGCACGACCAACTGGGCCAGCCAAGTGTCCCCAACATTTTTTTTAAAGAATGAAAAATTTGCCATTCGCGAAAAGCCACAGGGATCATCCGCAAACACTTTAGGAAATAACAAAATTTACTGCTGGAGGCAGAATGGATGGCACATTGAAAGACTTCTTAGCCTATAAACTGTTTTCAGCCCGGTCATTACGGCAGCTCATTAAGCAATGAATCCACTGCTCGTGGAATGTGATTTTAAGCCCAGGGTCACAAAACAGAGCCTTCACATGGCACATCCACCCAGAGCTTTGGTCGCCGCGGTTGGGCACACGACCGGTCTCTGTCCCCGCGAGCGGTGGTACCACACTCCCAGCCAGTCCCCCGGCACAGGGCGCAGGGAGGCCGGGGGGCTCTAGTTGTGGGCAGGCTGCTTAGTTCCCTGCCACCCGGAAGTGCCTCGGCGGAGGGTGGGGATCGCAGGCTTCCGGGGTCGGGCCCCCCACCCACACCTCTGGGGGACTCCCGGGACCTGCAAACCTGAGCAGCACGGACTCTCCAGAGGTGCTGGGGTGACGGTAACTTTCCGCTTCTATTTTACGAGCTTGGCACACCCAGCACGGACTCTTACCATCAGTGACGGCACAGCGACCCTGGCGGCTGCCCCCCCCTCGGGCATCACCTTGTTGGCCCTCTCCCCTCCTGACGACACCTGTCCTATGCAGGAGCTACCGCCACCCCCAGGTCACCGATGAAGAAGCTGAGTGCAGGAGAGCAGAACCGCCCTGCCCGCACCGCGAGCCCCGACGGGAGTCCTTCCAGAGCCCCGGCCCCCGTAGGTTGCGAAAGCCACCTCGAGGCACACCCACCAGCAGCCGCCAGCAAGGCCGCTCGGTGGTTTGCAACTGGCCCCGAAGCCGAGGCGGCCGAAGCCTCCGGAAGGTGAGGGGCAGACGCGAGGGCCGCATTACCTTCCCCAGCTTCGCCTTCTGCCGTCTCTCCTCCATCCTTCCCTTCAGCGTCTCCACATCCTCCTTGGTGCCATTGAGCACGATGACGTCGTCTTCCTGGAAGGCAGCCCCACACTGGAGAGGGCAGGAAACAGGACATTCCGTCACCACGCGGAGGGCAGCTACCCCTGAGACCCTCGCCCTTGCCCAACCACCGCTCTGCAAACCCCCGGGAAATTCCTGGAGTGTTCTGCCTGTATCTCAGCTTAGCCAGCTTTTGAGTCAAGCTCTGCTTTGCCAAGTTCTGCGTGTGGAGCTAGCGTGGCAGGCCCGGGAGGGCCGGCTCTGAAAGGGCCTGCCTGCAGGCCAGCCTCCCTCTAGTCTCTGGCGTCTGCGAATCTGGATTTCGGGAGGGTTCCCAGCATTTTCTGTGTCGGGCCGCTTGCCACACAGGTCTCCCTGCCGGATCTCTACATCCTAGAGGGACCGGACCTCCAGGTGTGCAGGAGGAGGGCGCCGTACACAGCCCCTAGCACGTGGGGGGCGTTCGGGAAAAGCCCGTGTAAGGAATCATCAGCCACATTTATGCAGCACCTGCTGGCTTGTCTCACGACGACTGACTTCACGAGAGCCTGTGATGTGCCGCTCGCCGCTGAGCCCGGCCTGGACGGGAAGCGGCCCGCAGAGCTCCCCTTCCAGGCGGAGCCGAGGGCTGTGAACCCGGCCCTGCGTCAGAATCTCCAGGCCTCATGGGACCCCGGGCCGGTGTCCGACTCGGGGTCTAGGGTGGGGCCCGGGAACCTGCGTTTCTCATGTCTTCTCAGGTGATGCGGACGCTGCCTGTGGGGAACCCTGCTTTGGGCAGCCTGCTCTGGAGTCCGGGAACAGGGCCAGTGAGGGGAGTGGGCTCAGTCCCAGCAGGAAGCG